TTAAGGGTCTTGGAGCCCTAGGATGGGGGAGCTCTGGAAATACTAGGCAGGACGCTTCAAGGAATGCATTAGTTGTGTAGAAAGACCTACAGGGAAACCCTGAACGAAGCACTTAAGGAAAACTCTCCAGGACGCCTTGAGGGAACCCTTGAAGGAGCACCTATGGGAACCCTGAAAGGAGCACTTAAGGGAGCCCCGATTAAGGCCCTTAAAAAGAGCCGGAGCCTTCGTGGACTGGAGCCTGCAAGAGCTCGAGGTGTATGGTTCAGGAAAGCATGCAGGAAAACTTTTTTCGGGTTGAGGGTTCAGGGTTTGGGGGTTTGTATGGTTCAGGAAAGCATGCAGGAACACATTTTTCGGGTTGAGGGTTCAGGGTTTTTCTGGGTTGGGAGATGGGGTTAAGGCTTTAAGGCTGGGGGTTTAGGGTTTAGGGAGTTTGGGAGGGTTTAGCTGGTGGAGCACAACTGTCCCACTGACGCCGTCATCCTTCGATAGCGGTCGGGTTGAAGCCCTCAAACCCAAAGCCCTTAAAGCCTCAATTCCCTAGACGCTTTATACCTTGGCCTTTATAGGAATCCTGTTTGTAGCACAGGAACCCCTTCATGAACCCCTGAAGGACCGCATAAGAACCCTGCAGACAGCCGCCTGAGTTGGAGGTGCAGGAATTGCACTGTAGAAACCCCAAACGCCTAAGCCTTGTAAACCTTCAGGATCCATGTATGCAATTATATATATATATATATATATACACACACACATATTTTCATACATATCCACTACCTAGCACTTTAGGAGCAATATATGTACTACATATGTACATGGACACTTAGGCTCCCTCGCCAGGATTACGAATGCAGCAAGTCTACCCTGCGCGTCCTAGCAGGGGATGACCGGCAAGGCACCCCCCGGGGCTTGGGACATTTTTGGGTGTCAAAATTAGGGTCCCTTTAAAGGGCTCTATAAGGGTTACTATAAGGGATACTATAATAAGGGATACCATAACGGATACTATAAGGGTACATACTATAATATGGGTAGTTGTCAAAATTATGGTCCCTTGTTGGCTCCTCAATATAATACGGCACCTAATATTTAGGGTGCCCAAAAAGTCACCCTAATTTTGACAACTACCCATATCACTGAACCCTGCAAACCATAGCACCCAAGAGTGCAAGTGCTGTCTATACTGGAAATATTTGTGATCTGTAAGGGTTATGAGGGGATTTTGGGCGTACTTTGGGGACTCAAAGTGCGTGGGGCTTCATCGGGGGGTGTAGGAAGTTTGTTGATCCTACTTTTAGGGCACTTCAAGGACCAGGGGCTGTAAAGTATCTGAAATGGGAGTCTTGTACTTCTCCTTCCTGATACCCCCGACTGATGCCCGAAGCGTACATGCACCCGTCTAGTAGTACAGCTTTACGTGGCAACAGCCTTTGGGAGCTGAATCTCTTTTGTCGCTGTTATGGGGCCCTCTAGGTCAAGGTAAGCTTGCTTGATCCTAGGTGGGGCTACTGTGTTTTGTTCTCCGTGAGGCTATTGGGCTTAATTAAGCCCTGAGCCCTTAACCCCCAGGATTTTATGCATGGCTGCAGGAGAGGCTTCTCGAGCCTCCATGGGTTCAGCCAGGATTTAGGTCATAACAACCTACAGTCTTCCCCCGGGGTCTTAACCTAACCAAACCCTACTTAGAGGATCATGGGACTTAGTAAGTAGTAGGTTATAATTGCTGGGGTTATAAGTCCCCTAAGTGGGGTTATCCTAATTATAACTTACTTATAACCTTACTTGCTAAGTCCCATGATCCTTCAAGTACAGTAGATGGCGAAGTTATGCGCGCCGTCCGAAAACCACTAAGCCCTGAACCCTTGAAAGCAGCCTGCCTTTTTCAAGGCTCACTGGAGGCGCTTTGGAAAAAAGTCCTCAAAAACAAAAAATCAAAAGGGGCAGGTTAGGGCTCTTGGGCGGGGCAGGGCCCAAGTTACGGTGTAGGGTTTCTTTTTGAAGGGCAGAGAGAGGATGGCATTTGGCTGCTAAACCGCCTACTTAGATAGTAGCCTGTTCGTACTAACTCTGCGTTCACGGACCCTGAGGCCAGTGTTCCATTGTGCGAGCCTCGCTGTAGAGCTGGTTAGCCGCGGTTAGCCGAGCATAGAGGTACATCGGAGAGCACAGGTACCTCAACTTACTTAAACTCTATGCACAAACTCGCAGACCTTAGGCCCCCATACCCTAACCCCCCAACCTCAAGTCCTGCATCGTGTTTTGGGGTTCCGTTCCTGCCTCCTGCCTCTTCTAGCTTTCCGATAGGCAGCACCGATGCCGAGTGCTGCACACTGAAGCGATGCGAGGACCGCTCTTTATGGCTTGAGCTCGGGCTTCACAGGGCTACTCTCTAAGGGTTTCTACAAGGGTTACTGCAACGGCTCTAGTAAGGTTTCGAAGCAGTCTTAGCAGGGCTTTGGGACTTCGGGGTCTCGGGGTTGAAAGTTTAATATATAGGTGCCTTAATAGTTGCAATACTATTTTGGGGGGGTTCCTAGGCAACAAAACCCTAGGCCCCATCTTAAGGTTTTGCGGCTTTGGGGCTTCCCACGACGTGCGCCTGCCATTGCCATTTTTGGGGCGGCCTCCAGAATCGCGTGCACCCGGGAGAATCCTACCTGTGCCGAAATCCGAAACGAGGCTCAACCCGAAACCCGAAACCCCGAAGCTGAAACTGTGTGAAACCCCTGAAGCCCGAATTAGACCCCACCTTAAGCCGGAATAACCTACCCTTTAGGGCTCCTTATTATGATTTCCTTCTACAAGTCCTTAAAAAGGTAGGTTATTCCGGCTTAGGGCAAACCTGAGTATGACCTAAACAAGCAACCCGAAACCCGGCCAACAGCCTCAAGGACTACCAGTGCAGCAAGCCCACTCATTACGAGAAGTTCCTTGGCAATAGTTCCATCCAAGCTCCACGGGTTTATTCAAGGCCATAGTGCTTAGGATCGCTAAGTAGGATGTCCTGAGAGGGCTCTTTTCTGGAAATGCTTTGCGTGCGCCGGTTGGGGAGTCGAAGCACTCCAAAGACCTTGAAGTATTGAGCTGTAGCCTCTCTGCAGCAAGGCCTCAGACTCCCCAGATGCACCATTGCACGACCCCAAGAGCTACACCCCTAAACCCTGCTTACATCGGCTCTCTTGGACAACAAAATGAAGATAAACACTGAAATAGACAAGTGCCCTTGCACGCTCACACCCACACACAAACACACACACAGATACGTTCAAATGCACATATACATAATGTATACATATATATATATATATATATACATATATATATATATATGCACATACAGGTTACAACATGACAGCAATCATACCAATAATGTTAGAAATCGAGAGCGCTCGACTGAGGGGCTTAGGTTCGGTTGTACTGCTTGTCTTACCGGGCTTCAGGGTTAATATATCGACCCTCCTGTAGAAATACTAGTAGCAGTACATACACTAGTAGAAAAGCGAATAAACAAGAGAAACAGGCAAATGATCGTATTGACATGTGTATATGTCTATGTATACGTATATGTATATGTATATATGCATGTATGTATGTATGTATGTATGTATCCATGCATGCATGTACGTATGTCTGTACACGTACTTATAAATGTAGGTAGGTATGTATGTGTCCGTTATATAAGCACTCATACATGCACACGTACACACATGCATTAAGGATATTATATATACACACACATACACAGATTTGTTTACGCTGACACCATGAAGCCAGTGGTGACCAAGGCTCCCGACGATTGAAGAGACAGAGGCTGGGCAGACCGGGGGTGTTTGGGATGCAGGCGATGCTGCACCGGTACTATTCAGACACATGTCGGCACTGCTGCTGTGACCCCAGACCGTGCGAGAGTCTGCCCAACTCTTAATCCTGCTATCGTTCTGGCATAGGGTTGAGTCGTACACGAGATGCTGCATTCTTGGAAAGCCGTAGCAGATAAGTTCAGAATTTTCTCTCCAGCCAATCAAGCCCCCCAAAGAAGAACCAACATTTTCTTGCAGACCCCAAAGGAGAATAATGAGTGTACCCCAAACGCCGAACTCTTCATCCTAAGCCGCAGATCCAGAATAGACCGCACGGGCCCCAAGGAGCACTAGGGACCCTGAACCTTAAACCCTATACGATTTCCAACTCTAGTTACAAGTGCAGGATGGCCTTCAGATCGCCAGACCGGGCTATAGCGATGAGGATGACAGGGCTGAAGGTCTTGGATCGTAGGTTGCTATACCATAAACCATAGTATACTATGTGCCAGAATAATTTTCCTACAATTGCAGTACCATGTTACAAGTTTCTGTATAAGATGCTACAGCTACATACGGGTCCATCCTTCCGGGTTTGAGGTTTAGGTCATTGGCACGATTTTCGAGGGCCTGGTTCCTATCTTCGGGTTACCTTCCCAAAGCCCTTGCAGGATGTGAACACCAAAGCCCTTGAGCAGGGGCCAGAGCTTATCACACATGACGGTAGGGTGTCTCTTTGGCAAGCTCCCATGTTGTGCTTCATCAAATCCTTCACGTGGGTCCGAGACAGAATACTCTATCTTGAACGTACATAAATCCTCCCGGTACAGGACGCGCAGATGCCGTACTCAAGGGGTATGAAGACGTTGTAATCGGTTCCATCCATATCTACCTAAAGAAATACCACTATTCTACATATTCAGGGCCCTGTACTTCTGAGCTGGGAGCAGATTCACAAACGCGCTGTGATGTAGAATCTACACCTATGTTCTCAGGTTTTAGGATTTTGTATGTTGGCCGTCGACCACTTACCGTGCAATGTTTCAACAGCAATACTTGGAGGTTCATGGTTACTTTATTAGATATATCTCGTCAAATTGGCTCCACCTATAGAAATCCTTCTCTAACCCCGCGTTAAACGGGCTCTCTCAAGACGTGCCCGCTTGTGGGGGATCGTAAGCCTAATCGATTGAGCAA